AAGAAAAAATTAAGATTTTTAAAAAATAAAGCTACATATTATAAAAGCAAATAAAGAAAAAAAGTAATTACAAAATATTGAATAGTTATAAAGAATTTTGAACAAAAATGATACAAAAAAGATAATAGAAATAATAAGTACAGAAAAATCTACTATAAGATTTTAGTATATTTTATAAAACTTCTAGATTGAACAAATATACAAAAAAATTTAAACTAAATAATAAAATAAAATAAATAACTAAGAGAAAGAAAAAGAAATTTTACAAAAAAACAAGAAGGTATCTGTAAAGATAAAGGAAAAAAAGAAAAATAAATAAAGAAAAAAAGAAAAAAAAAATAGATATACTATACAATACTGCTATAAATTTAGTTAATAAAGAAAGATTAGAGAAGGATAGTAGGGTTTATAGTTTAGAATTTAGTTTAGCAAGAGATTCTATATTAGAAGAAATTTTAGTTAGTTTAAAAAATTTATAGTATTAATTAGCAAACATGTTAAACTATGATATTCTTCTTTAGAGATACTTTTTGGTATTCAAATATGAGTTCAAAAATAAAGAGATAAAAGGTTACTATAGTAGATCATATCTAGATACTAAAATGATAACTAGATAATACTAGTCAAATGAATTTATACCAATATAATATTGTAATCTATTAGCATATTGATATTTCTGATATGTTACTAATTTCAAACAGATATTTAGCATAATTAAGATATCTTTTAGTAACAAATCAGATTTAAAAAAATCAATAAAGCTATTAGCATACTAATAGAGCTATTAGCATACTGATATAACTATCAGTTAAATATTAGTTTATCACAATATTTATCTGATAGCTATATTGATATACTAATAGCTCTATCAATTTTTTTAAATTTAATTTGTTACTGAAAGGTATCCTATTCAAGCTAAATATCTGTTTAAAATTAGTTTCATATCAGAATATCGATATGCTAATAGATCATTGGTATAAATTCATTCAACTAGTGTAAGTTAGTATTTAAAAAAAAATTACTAGATAGTAGAACATACTAGATAGAGTTGTTTTAGTTATAGATTAAAATTTGATTAAATAAAATATTAGCATGATTGCTAAAATAAAAAATTAATACTTTATTATAACTTAAATAACTTAAATAATTACTATACATAAAATAAAAATAAAAATATTAATTATAATAATATACTTATTATATTATTTTAAAGAATTTTATGTAATAAATCTATAGAAAAATACTTAGTATTTTTATTACTTTTACTAAATATTACTTTTTTTGTTTCAGTTTATTTTGTTTATTTTTTATATATACAAAATAACAAAATTTTACTAATCTAGTTATATAAAACACTTTTTATATAGAACTTTGCTGAGTAAATCTTAGTTGAAAGTCGTAAGATTCAAAGGGATTCAACTAATATTATTAAAATACTACACGAAAACTTCAAGTTTGCTTAGTACAGTAGACCTGGTTAGAAGATGAGATAATCTACTCGAGCTTCCGAAAAAAGTATTGTAACACGTATAAAAAAATTCCGAATCAATTGAATCGTTTGTGTAACGATCTGCAAACTCGAGGCATACTCGGAACGGTCATCCAGGGGAGAACGTCGATCGTTACACAAACTATCAATTGAATAAAAAATTTATTTATACGTGTTACAATACTTTTTTCGGAAGTCCGAGTAGATTATCTCATCTTTAAACCAGGCTTAGTGTACTAAGCAAACTTGAAGCTTTCGTGCTGTATTTTAAGAATATTGATTGAATCCCTTTGAATCCCACAGCTTTCATATTCAATTTATGCGACGAAGTTATATGTAAAAAAAGTATACTATGTGAGCTAAGTTTGCAAAATTTCATTCTTCTGAGTATAAAAAAATGAACTTAAAATACACGAAAGTAACGAAAGTAACAATTAGAAAAGGTAAGGTGAGTGTTAACGTTGTTTTATTGTATAAAACTTTTTAAAAAACATAATAGATCTATATTACTACGGGTAACTAATTTTAAATTATTTTTATTTTATTTTATGTAGTTGTTTAAGCCATTTAAATTTAATAGAACATAATAGGATATATGTATTAGATAGTAGAATAGTTATATGGTAGAATATTAAGTTTATATTAGATATAGAAGCGCGTGTAGAGGTGAATACAATATATAGATTATTAAGATTTTGTCAATAATACTGTAATAATAGCGATAGTTAAAAAGTCTATAAATTTGGTAAATATATGATTCAGACTAATAAGTATATGTTAATTTACTTTGTAACAATGTTTATCGAGACTTATCTTTGAACTTTGGATATAAATTTTTGCTTCGATTTTGCTTATTTTTCTTATTTTCCTTATTTTTTTTATTTTTTGAAACTTACGATTTTATTGGCTGATTTTCATGTAACATTATTTCAACATTCGTGTAAATCTTTTTTTAATTGGCTAAAAAGATATGCAAGGTCGGAATATCAATTTCCTTATTTAGAATGTTCTCCCCTGGACAAACACCCTGTATACGAATAGTAATTCTCTTTAAAATAAATGTATATATTATACTACGTTATATACTTATATCTCATATATTATAGTAAAGCATAATTCAGATAAAATGTAAAATTTAAAGAAAATGTTTTACTATAATTTAGAGCAGGTTTGATTTTGGATTAGTGTGAGCATAGTTTATATTTACATCAAAATTTTGCAAGAAATTTTTTTAGTAGAACATGTAAAATTTTGAGTTATTAGAGATTTTTTTAATATGAATAGTTTATATAAAATTTTGAGTTATTGATTTCTTTAAAAGCTATTTTTTATATTACACCTGATCTTGAAATTTGATTAGTAGGCAACAAATAAAAGTATTGTATAGTGCAAAATTAGCTAATTAAAACAAAGTATAATAAATAAGAGAATTATACTTATGCAAAATCTTGATCAATTCTTATTTTTATTAGACAAAAAATTTAAAACTTTAGAAAGAAAAATTAAAACCTTGAAATTGAATAAATCTAAAATATATTTTATTCTATATTGTTTTTTATCAATTATTTAATCAAAAAATTTAGCTTATTTTTTCAGATATAATAAAATATGTCTATAGTATTTAATACTATAGTATTATATATTTTAATTTAAAAATTCATATAACAAAAATAAAAAAATAAATATTTATAAAAATATTTTAGAGTTAGAGCTAGGGATAGATTCAGTTAGCTATAGTTAGTCATTGGTCAGTTATTATTGGTTATTGACTTATAACTACTTGCTTGCAGTTGGTTATATAGTCAAATAACTAGTCATAACTAATAAATAACTAGTTAATATTTGATTAAGTAGCTATGATATTTAATATATATAGCTATTAATCATATTTTGTAGCAATAATTAGATATATTTATAGTTAATTATTAATATATATTTAATTAATATATTTTATATAATAAATATTTTTAAAAAAATAAAGAATAAATTAATAATTATATAAATATTAAATAATAATATAATTTAGGCTAACTGCCTAGGAAAAAAACTCAATGGGAAAAAACCTTATTTAACTAATAAATAAATAATAAATAAATATTTAAATTTAATAAAATAAATAAATAAATAGATAAAATAAAATAAATATTTAAATTTAAAAATAAATTATAATATAATATTATAAATAAATAAATTAATAAATAATTAATTAAAATATTTATTTAAGAATTTAAATATATTTAATATTATTTAAATAAAAATATAATTAAATATAGTTTAATTATTTAATATTTTCTAATAACCAACTACTTAAATATAAACATACTCTTGCAGAATTACTACTTAATCTGTTTCTTGATTTATAAATTACTTGACTTGCAATAGAAAAAAGTTGTTCACATGGAACAGAGCTTGCTTAAATATATAAAAAATTTTGTACAAGTTTAGAAAGTGATAAATATTCTGCTATATAAGTTTGCTACCAATTTAAAAGATTTATAATTTCATCTGCTTCTGCAAATAACTAATATTTTTGAACTTCATCATCTACTAGTTATAATTTTTGAGTATTATTTTTAATTTTTAATAAAAACTTAATATTTTTTTAGAAGATTAAGATAATATTAAAGGTAATTATTATATTTTTTCTTGAACTGGTATTAAAATTTTTTCAATTATCATATCAGAAAAACAATGATTTTTATAACGAAAATTTAAAAAAAGCAGAAATATGTATAGAATTAGTTATTATATTTAAATATTTAATATATTTAAATAGCATAGCTTCAATAATATTATCTAATTAAAAGTTATCATATTTGTTAGATTCTAAATATTTTCAAAGAGCTAATAAAATTATTTGTGTATATGCAATTGTTAGATATAATTATGCTAAAAGTTTAATAGTAGCTTCATTAAATTGTTCTAAAAGAAATTAAGTTATTAAATTTTATTCAATCTTTATTATTTGGTATATAAAGTTTTAATATTAGATATTTAATTGATAGTATTTTAATTGATTTCTGAAGTATATATATTCTTTTAAACATAAAATATATAGAATTCTATCTAGTTTTATAGTCTAAAACAGGAACTAAAAAAGACTGTTTTTCTATAATTACAATATTTTCTAAATCTTCAAGATATTTAGTTGATTTTTAAATAGTTTTAACTAATTTTTATAATTTTTTAATTAGAGTTTCTACAAATTTTAATCTAGCTAAAACAACTAAATTTAGTATATAAGCTATATATCTATAATAACAAAAATTATCTAACTTATCTTGTAAATAATTTGAAACTGAAATCATATTAGTACTATTATCAGTAGTTAATATAATAACTTTTGTATCTATTTCAAATTCTTCAAGTAAATTATATATTTTATTAGCAATATTTTGTCCAGTATGAAATCTTTAAATTGAAAAATATCTAAAACAAAATGTTGTAATTTCTATTTATTATCAATAAAATAAATAGTAATAGTTATAAAACTTTTTATTTTTAAAGATATTCAAAGATCAGTAGTAAGAGCAATTTTGAATGAAAATTTAGTAATATAATTTTTTACTAAAATTCTTTGTTCAGTAAATTGTTTAATAATTAAAGTTTGAATAGTTTTATAAACAGGAATTTGAAATAGTGAATCTAATTTTTGAATCATTATATTAAAAGATTTATCTTCTACTACTTTAAATAGCTGAAGAGTTAAAATAATCTATTCAATAATTGATTGAGTTTTTTCTATTTGAATTTTTTTTTGAATATTTTTTCACAAAATAATTAATTGTTGTTTGCTTCTCTTTATCTTTTAATAATTAATGCTATTGTTGTAAATGAGAATAAATAGAACTTGTTCCTGCAGCTAGTTTAAAAATTTTAGAATATTTAGAATATTTACAAGTTTGTTTATCAACAAATTTCCAAATATTTGATTTATTTCTAAATCTAATTTTTTTGATTAAACAAAATTTAAATCTTGATCTAAAATTTCATTAGAATTTTCTTCCTTAATTTCAACTATTTCTTCAAAACTCATATCTTGTAAAATATTATCATCATCTTGTATAATTTCAGCATTATTATTTAAATTACTATCATAAAGCATATCTAAATTTTTTTTATTACTACATTCTTCAGAAGTTTTGTTTAAATTATTTGAATCAGAAGATATATTTTATTTATTTAAATAAATAAATATAAAAATATAAATATAAAATAAATTTATAAAATAAATAAAAATAATAATATGATAGAAAGTAAAAATGTATATATTAAAAATAATTTGAGATTTAGTTGTTAGAAGTAAATTAAATAGTAAAAGAATTTTAAAATTTTTAATTTTTTTTTTTTTTAACTTAGGTGATTTTGCCCTTTATTTATTAAGAGAAAATATATATAATATTACAACAAAAATAAAAACTAATTTATATTAGCTATATAACTATTCTCTTTTTCTAATTTTAAACTCACTCAGCTACCTTAGATACTCAAATACGATTAGCTGCAAAAGTGATTTTCCTCCTACTAAAGCAGTTTGTCTAAGCAAATCTATGCTCAAGTAATCTATAAAAGGCTCTTCTGTACCTATAATTTTTAAATTTTTAAATTAAACTTATAGTTATAAATATTAATTTATTTATTTGAGCAAAATTAAATAAAAATCTTTAAATTAAATATTAAATAATACTAATTTTATAATTTTATAAAGTTTATCTTTAATTTATATTAATTTTATTAAAAGTAACTTTTATTTATTACAATAGCTATTTTTTATTATACAATATTGTTTTTTTATATATATATTTTTTTTATTAAGGCTACTTCTGTAGCTGATTAGATTTTATTACAGAACTATCACAAGAATAATTTTCTAAGGTTTTATAGTTATATGATGAATATACAACAAGCCACATATACAACTTTAGACATTGTCTAATTTAAGTAGTCTGCCATACAGATAATTAATATCTGTTGGTTCTACACTATGCAGCTATATCTGCAACTCGTCTGTGAGTTATCTATTTAAATACTCTGATTATTAACTCTTTTCTCCTATTCTAAACTAATATTATCACTATATCTAACTGCTTAAGCTAGTTGACTTACACATAGATCTATTTACCACATAGCTTAAGCCTTCTTCAAAGTATATATTGCTTAATATATTGTAAGCTACAGAGCTCAAGCTAATCTTAGAAGTAATTCCTATCAGAGTAGAAATATACCTATTTTACAGATTTATCTGGCTTAGACCCTTGTCGATATTTATATGAACCTAGTTCTTGCTATAGCTATCTATTAGATATAGTCCTCCAAGTTTTAGCTAGATGTTTTAGAAGTAAATCCTTCCAATCTAGTTAGCTACCAAGCCAAGTTAGTCTTGCTACTAATGCAAAACACTAGCCTGCATTATATAGCAGACTTACTCATATCTATTGATCTCATATCCTTCATACTCAAGTTTTTTATTGAATCAGATATTAACTAGCTTAACTATTGAAATCTGTACTACTTTATCAAACTCAGGATTTCTACTATGCAGGTCCCCTGCCTATAGATTCTATTAAGATTTATTTATGCAATATAACTTGAATATTGTATTATATTTCTAATGTCTAATTGATATTAGTACAATATGATTTACAGAGTTGTAACTCTCAGAAATAAGCAGAGTTTACTGTAAGTTAGATACAAAGGTCTAGATAATTATTCAAAATCGTCAACAGTAGGATTTGAACTCCAGACCTCTTGCATGATAGTCTGGCAACCTAATTACTATACTAAGATCACTAGACCTTACAATATTATTTATTATTATTATTAATAACATTTATTTATTACATTTGCTATCTTATTTTATTGTATAATAATACTTATTATTATTATTATTATTTATTTATTTATTACATTCACTAACTTATTTATTGTATAATAATATTTATTATTATTATTATTAATATTTATTTATTATATTTGCTATCTTATTTTGTTATACAATAACAATTATTATTATTATTATTATTATTATTTTTTTTTTTTTACTGTTTAAAGAGAGAGTTCTATGTCTCGATATTTATTTATTTAAGACTTACAACCTATACTTAGATAGAAGAGTACTACATTTTGTATATCAATAAGGTCACAATTAGCTATATGTACAATTTTAGTCATTGTCTATTTAAAGGTTCTACCTGAAGGTTATCTACTAACTGCTATACCTAAGATCTGCTTGTAGATCTTCTAATTAAGCCTTCTGATTTTCAATACTTTTTCTGTAATACTAACTTAAATATATAGCATATTCAGAACTATAGGCTACTTTACTCACAAACTAGACCTCTACCTCTGAATATTCTATGTCTATTTTATAGTCTATTTAGGGATTTGTACTCTTGTCGATGTTCATATGAACTAGTTCCTACTGTAGCTCTCTATCAATAGTTCTTCAAATATTTCACGAAGAGATTCTTCCAAATCTAGTTAGCTACTAAGCCAAGTTGGTATTACTATTTCTCCCTATGAAATAGACCTACTCGCACCTACTCAATCTGCATTTTTGTATTACTAGATCAAGTGTTAACCAGTATGACAATTGAAATTTGTACTACTTTACCAAACTCAGAATTTTTACTATGCAGATCCTCTGCCTATAGATCCTATTAAGATTTATTTATATAACATTACATCTTTTCAAATATCATGTTATACTTCTAATATCTAATAGATATTAGTATAACATGATTTACAGGGTTACAACCCCAAAAATGAACAGAGTTTACTGTAAGTTGAATACAAAGGTCTAAGTAATTATTCAAATTCGTCGACAGTAGGATTTGAACCTCAGACCTCTTACATAGTGGTCTGGCAACCTAACTACTACACTAAGATCACCAGACCTTGACATACAACTAGATAAAGACTTATTAATAGAGTATAAACCAGATCTGTTATTCCTTCTAAATATTACTTTACAGAAATTTTTACACAATCAATTCATTCCACTCCTTTTATCAATACATAGCCAATATTTACTCAAGATAATATTCTACTATTACAATTATAAACTATCTACATTGAATCAACTAACAATGTATATTATATCTAGTTACAAATATACTAGATATATTTTGAACAGATATATTGAACTATATATTATATAGTGACAAACTATTAGCCCTCTATACTAACCCAAAACTCTCTATATTAAAAAAACTTTAAGATAAAACTCATAGCAGATAAACTTCTAGTATATCTAAACCTCTATATTCAGAATCTAACTAAATACAAAAATTATTTCTGTTCTCGCTACTACTTAAACCAAGAAGACTTCACTTATGTATTTATATACATGCAAAACTATATCAGATTTGAAACATTTCTTAAGAACATACTTCTTGAATACGCAAGAAAGAATAATATAGAACTACAAGAAATATATACTTTTATAAATACATACAAATATTTATACTGCACACAAAAAATACTAATAGGAATTATTACAAGTGGAACAACTACTCTAGTAGAACAAAAATATAAAAAATACACATAGCAACTTTGCACTACTATATCACTAAAGCCATATACGAAGAATTTTAGATCCTATCACAGAAAAAACTATATGAACTAGCTCTTCTTGCACTACTTTCTTTAAATTTAATTCTATTAACAAAAACAAAAAACATTAGCCAAACAAAAATCATAACAAAATTACAAAAACTAATCAGATCTGATCAATCATTACTTCAACATATTATCAAAAACTAGAGGTTTACAATCTTTCTAGCAATAGCTTAGATTAAGAGTAAACTAACTCTTACCTTTATCTCCTTCTAGTATAGATTTCTGTATTTTGTATTTACTTGTATGCCAAATTTATTACAATAATAAAGAGATAGAGAATAGACCTCACTTTAAAAAAAAAAAAAAAAACAATATATGATACTACATATATCAAATATTCCCATGATCTCTGATCAACAAAACAAAAGATCTGGAATAGATCTTTATTTAAAACTTGATTCTAACAACTCAGAACAAATATTCGAGTTTTTTATAATAATATCTAACTCAGATCTTATAAATATAAAAGTTGATATACATACAAAAAATATAGAATCTACTTCAACAGCAGATTTAAGTACTCTTATATTCACCTATAGCTAAGCTTTAACAGAAAAAAAGATATTTCAACAAAACTTATCAAAAAAGAATAATAACAATAACAATCTACAAGCAGACTATAAAAAAAAAGAATAGACAAATAAAATAACTTTGGCTTTAAAAGACTAAAGTCTAGAAAAATATCAACCAATAGACATCTCTCTTTAGAATCATGACAAATGTATAGAAATTTTTACTTCTCTTTTTGTACTTTTTTTTTTTTTTTTTTTTTTTTTTAATGCTATCGGCTTAACTTTATTAATTTCGTAAGTTTTGGAAGTGATACATATTGTGAGAGTACAACTAGCTACACGTACAATTTTAGATTATTTATTTTAAGTAGTCTGCCCGAAGGTTCTACACTAGCTGCCATACCTGAAATCTCTTAGAAGATTCTCTATTTAAACTCTCTGATCCTATCTTACTTACCACAAGTACTACTTTTTATAATT